TAGCCTAACGAAGAAAAGTACCTTGTCGTCAAGATAGGCAGCCCAGAAACGAGCAACGGAACGATCGTAGGGATCAGAAGGAAGAATAGAAGGACCAGAAGAGAAGACTTGGTCGACGTACTCAACAATAATGAGAGACTCGCACACAGGCTTATCTCCATGAATCAGAACTGGGATTTTCTTATGAACAGGATTGGACTGAAGCAGAAGCTGGCTCTTGGATCCCAAAGTCTCTTCAAGAAACTCATAACTCGCAGACTTAATATTCAGAGCTATGCGAGGCCTCATCACAAAGGGACTCGGCCATGCACCCAGAAGCTTCACTACTTTCTCTCCCTCCGACATATCTGATCGATCAATGTGTTTAAGTTACAGATTTACAAATGACATGGCAGGTTGTGGTAGGGGGTACATATAAATACAAGGGCTGCTGTGAAAATTAAAAACCTGCAGAAACGGTTTGGCAGGTTGGTGCATCATAGTGTGAAAAGAGTCTAATGGTTGGATGAAAGAGGAGAGTGGGGTCATTAATGGCAGAACGTAAATGTGGAAGAGGGTCGGCGACTTTTTGTGGTGGAGGGGGATGCACCAAGGCCATCGCTTTAATGCATACTTGTTGCTATTAGTTGTATTCATTAATTTCGTATGGCAATGCCACCGGTCTAATACGGACTTGTGCTTTTATTACTTGCTAGAGCTCAGTTCTATTTTAAGTCACTAAAAAAAAAAGTTTATTTTTAAAATAAGTTTTAAATAACTAATTCACAAATATATAATAAATAATTAGTTAAAATTAGTTAAAAATAATAAATAGATTAAAAATATTTTTTAAAAATATGTCCTTATAATAAATGAGAAGAAAAATAAAAAAATATATGAAAAAAATGATAAGAGAGAAATAATTAAGGACAATATTAAAAAATAAGCATTAAATGTTAAGATAAATTAAAATTGAAGTTTATAAAATTGATGACACACAGTCCCTAATTTAAAGACTATAAATTACTTATAAAGGAGGGAAAATGCCAGAAAAAGGATTGTTGAAATTTGAAATGACAAAATGGGTATACAAATAACTGAAATGACCAAATGGGCATGGGGTATCAATCTAGAATTTTGTCAATTCGGTAGAAAGACTAAAATGCCCTAAACCTCTCTGAAGATATGAACCGCAAAGAAAACAATAATATACCAGAAGAGAGAGAGAGCTGAGAAGACGAAGCTAGAACAAGGGTCGAAATCTGGAAAGAGGGAAAAGGTAAGCAATTTTTTCGTTAAAATGCTAGTATCACCCGATTTCTTGACTCGCTTTGTTGCTGCATGCTCGAATGGAGATGGGTCTGTGAGTGTAGAGGGTTTGGATGAAGAATTTGACCAGGACGAGAGAGTGACACGTCAGAAATGGAAAAATGGTGACAAACAGTAAGCATGAGGTGGTCAGTGTTGTTAAATTCATTAGTGAAATTGTAAAATCCTATATTTAAATTGTCAATGGAGTAAGTGGATGTGTGTATTTTTTGGGTGTTTTGAAAGATAAATGAAATTGATTATTGGGGAACTAAAATATTGATTTATGCTTCTTTGTTGCAGGTTAGCAGGCTTTGATGACATCTAACATTGGGTCTAACATTGAGGAGTAATTTTTTTGGTGTAAATAGAATAACTTTTGAACCCTTAATTTTTTTGAGAGAATAGTTGATAGAGAGGTTATCCTTTTTGTAAATGATGTTAACTGGGTAGGATATGTTTGTAATCTGAATGACAAGGAAACATTAGGTGGTAGTTTAATCTTAATGTTAACTTGTCATTTGAATACAAGTTATGTAACTTCTGTCATAAACGTACTGGTTTTTGGTAAATATTATCACTTCAGTAGTCAATTCCATTATACATGTAGTAAAGTCTGAATGTTAATATAAACATATTATGATGTTCTTCAGGTGTACTTATATGCTATTTTGTCAACACATTTTTACCGTTTGCTTAATTCCTCCAAGGGAGATGGCGGAAGTTGCCAATGGGCATGACCGAAGTGGTTAATTTGATTACAAATGCTGTTATTCACATTACAAATGTTATTATCATTATCGTGGTAGTAAAATTGGCTGAAAATAGATGTTATTTGGGTTTGAAAGAAATGAGTTAACAAATGGCAATAGCGAGATAGTAACTCTTATTACAAAAGTTGTAATTCACGTTACAGATATTATCATTATCATTATTATGGTAGTAAAATTGGCTCCAAATACATGTTAAATTCATTTCACATTAACCAGTTGCAAATGGCAATAGCAAAATGGTAACTCTCATTACGAAAGTTGTAATTCACATTACAAATTTTGTCATTATCATTATCGGGAGTGTGAAATTAGCTCCAAATATATATTACTTGAGTTTGAAATAAACGAGTTGCAAATGGTAATAGCGGATGATAACTCTCATTACAAAAATTGTAATTCATATTACAAATGTTGTCATTATTATTATCGGAGTAGTGAAATTGGCTCCAAATACATGTTATTTTGGTTTAAAATAAACGAGTTGCAAATGGCAATACGGAAGTGGTCACTTTCATTACGAATGTTGTTAATCCCATTATGTGTGTAGTGAAATTTGGGTCCAAATAGATGTAATTTGGGGTACAAATAATTGAGTTGCAAATGTCATGACAGAAGTTACAACTTTCATTATGCATGCTATAATTATCATTACTTGTTTAGTGAAATTATTCTAAAAAAGATTTAAATTAAGCCAACAAATATCATAACTTACAACCTACAACCATAAGTCAAGTATTTTGATAATATATGAACACTACTTTCACAAATACTATATGTTTAATTTACGTAATCTTTACTACTATCACAGATGCTGTCTTTTGGTCAGTGTGGTGGCTTCATTTGATGAAAACAAGCTCAATGCTTTGTCATGTCTTGAATTAAGGTCATGATTCACTAGCCACCACACGAATGCATAATTCAGTAACTTGAAACTGATTTTTCAGCTCCTACTTTGAGCTCACAGGTTGAAAAACAATCTGATTCAAACAACACAATCATAATTCAGCACTTAGAGACATAAATCATTATGTCCTAATCAGTTTTTAATCTCTAGCTCTTCAATCCTCAAACCAACAGTTTTTTTTAAAAAAAAAAGAAAGGAAAATCAGTTTTATGCCTTGATACTTTAATTTCACAAGCATCAATTCACAAGCAATAACCCACAAATTCATATATATACAAATATTTTACAAGTATTGAATCAACTTTTAACTTTCAAAACATTTCAACTAGCAGTAATATATAATCTGTAAATTATTTTCACTTTCAAAACATGCTAATATATAATTCAGATTCATTAAACAGTCTCTGAACACCATTATATCAGCTTCTAAATTTTCAAAACTTGAATCCCGCAACCTCAAGCATTAATAGCCCCAACAGCAATGAACACACACACATGCTTGTAAGATGACATGCCATAGCCACTCACTACCCTAATAATGATAATAACAACATTTGTAATGTGAATAACAACATTTGTAATCAAATTAACCACTCTGGTCATGCCCATTGGCAACCGCCATCTCCCTTGGAGGAATTAAGCAAATGGTAAAATGTGTTGACAAAATAGCATACAAGTACACCTGAAGAACATCATAATATGTTTATATTAACATTCAGACTTTACTACATGTATAATGGAATTGACTACTGGAGTGATAATATTTACCAAAAACCAGTACGCCTATGACAGAAGTTACATAACTTGTATTCAAATGACAAATTAACATTAAAATTAAACCACCACCTAATGTTTCCTTGTCATTCAGATTACAAACATATCCTACCCAGTTAACATCATTTACAAAAAGGATAACCTCTCTATCAACTATTCTCCCAAAAAAATTAAGGGTTCAAAAGTTATTCTATTTACACCAAAAAAATTATTCCTCAATGTTAGACCCAATGTTAGATGTCATCAAAGCCTGCTAACCTGCAACAACGAAGCATAAATCAATATTTTAGTTCCCCAATAATCAATTTCATTTATCTTTCGAAACACCCAAAACACACACACACACCCACTTACTCCATTGACAACTTAAATATAGGATTTTACAATTTCACTAATGAATTTAACAACACTGACCACCTCGTGCTTACTGTTTGTCACCATTTTTCCATTTCCGACGCATCACTCTCTCATGCTGGTCAAATTCTTCATCCAAACCCTCTACACTGACAGACCCATCCCCATTCGAGCATGCAGCAACAAAGCGAGTCAAGAAATCGAGTGATACTAGCATTTTAACGGAAAAATTGCTTACCTTTTCCCTCTTTCCAGATTTCGACCCTTGCTCTAGCTTCGTCTTCTCAGCTCTTTCTTTCTTCTGGTATATTATTGTTTTCTTCCAATTCATATCTTCAAGAGGTTCAGGGCATTTTAGTCTTTCTACCGAATTGACAAAATTCCAGATTGATACCCCATGCCCATTTGGTCATTTCAGTTATTTGCATGCCCATTTTGTCATTTCAAATTTTAACAGTAATTTTTTTATCATTTTCCCTATAAAGTAATTAATCATATTTTTAAAACAAAAATAAGTGAAAACAAAGTGGGCCTATTTGCGTTGATTACCGTCGTGAGAGGGCAATGCCAATTGCCAACGACCGCTCTCATTCATAAAAAGTACAGTTCGAGATATTTTAATTTGACTAGGGCAGAACACAGGTTAGGATGAGACAGCAGAAATGTCCAGCCAATAAAAATATTACATGTATTTTGAGCAAATTGTCAGTCAAACACACAAAAAGAGGTATTAATTAAATTTTGTGTAACTCCTTCCTGCTTACTGCACTCCGCAGTTCAATCTTGAACAAACAGCCAGTCAACCCTTGTGTTGAAGGTTTGTTTATAAACTTGAAAAGAACGTACAAAACCCCCAATATAGTTTTAAAAGGTTAAGTGAGACTAAACCTCCTCGCCACCTACAAAGTCATCAAGCTAACTCAAATATCTGAAATTGTAATTGTTCTCATACGCTATTTTCAATATTTCCGACATTACTCTCAAGAAAATACTAGGAATCATATATAATATTCAAGCAGAACCGCCAAATTTTGCACGAATAACATGGAAGAACTCAACAAGCTTCTTCGTCTCGGGCATAACAGGTTTCACAGCATCATCTTCACAAAACTTTTCAGCCCATTTGGCCAGCCCCGGCGTCTTGAACTCGTCGATCAACGCGGTGCCCGTGACCGTCTCCGTCACCCTCGTCCACCCCAAGAAGCAGCCAAATGCAATATCGAGGTATCCGATACGGTCGCCGGCGAAGAAGGGCTTGCCTTTGCTGATCTTGTTGTATGCATCCTCCAGCAACGCCAACCCTTCTTCCACCTGCTGTATCACAACCTTTATCTCTTTCTCCCCTTTTGCTCCAGCCATGGCTTTGAGGGTGGGGTACCACTGCACAGACATACACATATATATAGTAACGCAAATTATTAAACAACATTAACAAATGCATTGTGTATTAACAAATCATCGTTTTAGACTTTTACTTATCATATTGTATGTTGATTTATTTTAAGAACATAAAATATCCAAATAATAAAAGATAAAATAACGAGAGTACTTTTGTTCCCATGCAGCTGCACAAGACCTTCCCGACCCTGCAAACGGATACATTGAAAACTACAACTTGGTAGCAAATACCCAAGCAGTTTTCACCCCATAAAAGAAAAAAACCCAAGCAGTTAATTATACAAAGCATTTATACTCCAATCTGCCGTGTGTTATTAGAAGACTCTATAAAAGACATAATCATGATCGAATAATTGTCATATATATATATATATATATATATGTCGTACTTAAGTACTGTACAAATTAAACTGATACTCCTCCGGTCCTTAATATAAGATATATTTAACTAATTTGAGTAGATTAAGGAAGTTAGGTAAGTTAGTTAATTATAAAAAATATGACATGTTTTTCCTAAAACACTATAATCATCTTCCTTAATATCCTCTATCCCTCTTCTACTTGATTATGATTAAGGAAGTATCCATAGAGGTAATTTAGAAAAAATTGATAAATATGATAAATAGGTCTTATATTTATGACTAAAATCAACTCAACAATTAGTTTTTATATTAAGGATCGGAAGAGTACTAAAATGGCAACAACAAAAAAAACGATACGAAGAATGCTATACGCGTATTATTGTGCATACCTTGTCGTCGAGATAGGCAGCCCAGAAACGAGCAATGGCGCGATCGTAGGGATCAGAAGGAAGAATAGAAGGACCAGAAGAGAAGACTTGGTCGACGTACTCAACAATAATGAGAGACTCGCATACAGGCTTATGTTCATGGATCAGAACAGGGACTTTCTTGTGAACAGGATTGGACTGAAGCAGAAGCTGGCTCTTGGATCCCAGATTCTCTTGAAGGAACTCATACTTGACTGACTTCATATTCAGAGCAATGCGAGCCCTCATCACAAACGGACTCGCCCATACACCCAGAACCTTCACTGCTTCCTCTCCCTTCGGCATGATGATATGAGTTCTTCTTCTTCTTCTTCTTCGATTTGAGATCTGTGTGTTAAGTTACGATAATGACGCAGGTTCTGGGAGGATGCTATACATAAATACAAGAGGGAGAGTGAAAAATTAGGAAGCGTTTGGTTTGGTTGAGCAGGCTGTTTCATGCCGCATGCTGTGAGAAGGGACGGAATGAATGGTAGGTGAATGGGGGTTGGATGGCATGAGCTGCACCTGGCCCCTTCGTTAATAGTGCCATTGGTGGTATGAAGTGACTAAGGGAAAACGCCAAAGCACTATATAACTTGTAGATATTTTATCTTTTTGCGTATTCCGAGCTACTAGATTTTACACAAAACAGTTTTTTGAAAAGGACCCTTTAACATGCACCAGCCGGGAATCGAACCCGGGTCTGTACCGTGGCAGGGTACTATTCTACCACTAGACCACTGGTGCGAGATGTGAAATGACCGACCATTTTTCCACTCGTTTTGAGTCGTCGCAAGATTCATCTTCTAATTTCCATGCAGTAATGGAACCATCGGTATCTGAACTCTATAATGTAGTCTCTATCCTTTAAACTATAGCATATCATAAAGATTGAAGGAGAATTTAAATTATACTCATGAGATTATATGGCCCTGGTAGAGTAAATATTTCGCTGTTTCAAGAGTATGTTTTGTTGCAGTTTATTATTTAAAGTGTATAGGGGAATGCTTTGTTATGTGTTTCATCTACATATAGCCTAGCAACTTCTTTGTAAGCAAGTCCGATTTTTTTTTTCCCGAAAATGAAATGTACCACTTCAAATGTCATACTTTTTTTTAAATTAGAAGGAAAAATAAAAACTTAAAATCATGTCATACACCATTTTTATGTAATGTTTTTGATTTTTTAAAAATAATTTAAGGAGACAAAAACAGAAAATATTTATCTTTGTTAACAAAGGCATAAGATGCATCCAAGATCTTCAAATATTTTTTCAAGTACATCTAACAATCTAAAATATTTTTTAATTCATTTATTATTTTAAAATATTTTTTTTAGGTAAATTCAGTACTTTAAATAGAATATAGCAGTTTTGATTTCGTTTATAATTTTAGACAATTAATTCTTACATAGTTCTTTAATTAAAAAATTAAAAGCTTTTGACTCACTCTTGCACTTCACATTTCACTCTTGAACAAACAACCTTTCAACCTTGTTTGAAGGATGTTAATGATTAAACTTGAGAAGAACGTCCAAACGCTCCAATATAGTAGCAGTTTAAAGGGGTTAGGTAAGGCAAGGCTAAACCGCCCTACGACCTACCAAATCAAATTAAAAGAGTGTTTGGATGAACCCAATTCATGATTTGAAGAATAATTTCTGAAGAATAAATTTTGTATAAAAATGATTCTGAGAAGTGAGAGTATTTGAATAGTTGTTATCAGAAATACTTTATATATATAAATTACTAAAAAAACATAAGTTAATATAATAATTATATAAAAGATAGATTTTATGATATATTTTAATTTGAAGGAATAAAATTGTTAATAATATATTTTTTACCAACATAATTAATAATACATAAGATAATATAATTAATAAATAATTAATGTGTATATATATTTATAAGATATAAGATTAAATGTGTTTATAAAAAAATAATTGAGATGTGTTAAAATCATATTATTGTTGAAATCTACTCTGACAGGCACAATCATATTTTTCAATTTGAACCAGAAGCAGAATAGATTCATTTCTCCTGAAACCATGATTTTAAACTCCAAAATCATGGTTTCGGATTATTTCTCCAAAATTGATGTTGTTTGAGTGACATCCGACCCAAACCATGGTTTTGCCTCCCAAACCATGGTTTTGGGGGCATCCAAAGAGGCCCTTAACCCAAATTACTGAAATTGCCGTCATACATTATTTTCAATATTTCCAACGCTGCCCTCAAGAAAGATACTAGGAATTATAATATTCAAGCAGAACCGCCATATTTTGTACGAACAACATGAAAGAACTCGACAAGTTTCTTTGTCTCTGGTAGGGGTGTTCACGGGACGGGACGGGACCGGGACAGGCCCGTCCCGGTCCCGTCCCGGTGAACAGGGACGGGACGGGATTTTAGTCCCGTGTCCCGTCCCGTCCCGGTTTTGTCCCGGTCCCGTCGGGACCGGGACGGAACCGGGACGGGACAGGACGTCCCGTTCCCCTCCCCTTTTTTTTAAAAAAAAATACTATAATTTTTTATATGAAATTTTTTTATGTTATAATGCTTATTTTTTGTTAGGCTTTTAAAGATAAAAACATTATAAAAAATATTATGTAGAAAGCTCAATTATATAGTATAAAAAAGGTGTAAAAACAATACTGTAAAAAAAAATACGATAAAAGAAACACTATATAATGGCTTTATGAATTATTTTATTGAGGAAGGAGATATTGTTCAGATAATATTACAACTTAAGAGTTAAAAATCACTATAAAAATAATTATTATTATTAATAAGTAAATTGAATAATCTAATAATAATTATTAATAAATAATTTTTTTTAAAAAAAATTATCCCGGGACGGGACGGGACGGGACAACCCCGTCCCGCGTCCCGTCCCGTCCCGGTCCCTGTCCCGTCCCGTCCCGTACTTGTCCCGTCCCGAAATTTTTTTTGTCCCGTCCCGTCCCGTCCCGAACTCACCGGAACCGGGACGGGACGACCGGGACGGGACAAATTGAACACCCCTAGTCTCTGGCATAACAGGTCTCACCGCGTCATCTTCCCAAAACTTTTTAGACCATTTCGCCAGGCCCGGCGTCTTGGCCTCGCTGATCAACTCCGCGCCGGTGACCGTCTCCGTCACCCTTATCCACCCCAAGAAGCAGCCAAATGCAATATCAAGGTACCCAATACGGTCGCCGCCGAAGAAGGGCTTGCCTTTGCTGATATTGTTGTATGCATCCTCTAGCAAAGCTAGTCCTTCATCCACTTCCCGCATCAGAACCTTTATCTCTTTCTCTCCCTTCGCTCCAGCAATGCCTTTGAAGGCTGGGTACCACTGCATATATATAGTGGCACACATTAAACAAATTAATAAAATTATTGTAACACTTATTTTGAAATACAATATATGCATGAATATGTATATATGTATGTATAAAGTATAAACTGATCGTTCCCAAGTTAATAATATGCAAAATATCTATGCTTAATTTAATTAACTGATCCACCAAATTTTATTCCCGTACAGTACAAGACATTCCCGACTGCACAAAACGAATAAACACTACAGTGACTTGGGAGCTGGGATGAGTATAAGCGCAAGCAGAAGAAGAAAATCCAGTCTCAAAAAATTAGCCTATTAGGAGGGAGAGTCCCTGTAACTCCATGACATTCTCTTAATGAAAACACTAATATGATGAGCATAAACCTAAAGAAAGAGTCTAATCTCAAAAGATGAGCATATTAGAAGAGAGTACCCTTTAAACCTATAAACCACACAATACCTGTGAAACTCTCAATGTGGGACTAATAACACGAGCAAATACTCAAGCAGTTAATTATACAACAATTATACACACACACTCGAATATAATCTGATGTGTTAAGACTATATATATAAGACACGACGTATACTTGAGATACTGTACATATTAAACTGATACGAAGAATACTACTGCACATATTATATGTACATATATACGTACCTTGTGGTCAATATAGGCAGCCCAGAAACGAGCAATGGCACGATCATGAGGATGAGAGGGAAGAATAGAAGGAGCAGAAGACCAGACTTGGTCGACGTGCTCAACAATGATGAGAGACTCACAAACAGGCTTATCTTCATGGATAAGGACAGGGACTTTCTTGTGAACAGGATTGGACTGAAGCAGAAGCTGGCTCTTGTCTCCCAGATTCTCTTCAAGGAAATTATACTTGACTGACTTAATATTCAGAGAAATGCGAACCCTCATCACAAACGGGCTGTACCATACACCCAGAACCTTCACTGCTTCCTCTCCCTTCGACATGATGATGATATGAGTCCTTCTTCTTGGATTTGAGATCTATGTGTTCAGTTGCAATAATGGCGCAGGTTCTTGGAGGAGATTGTGTATATATGTTATATATATATATATATATATATGTACACACACACAAGAGTGATAGTGAAAAATGAGAAAGGGGTTTGGTGGGGTTTAGCAGGTGTGGCCTTTTGGGTGCATGCGGCATAGTGTGAGAACTGAGAAGGGAGCGAATGGTAGGTGAACGAGATGGAAGGCAGCTGTATGGACAACCTGTACTTGGCTCCTTCGTTAGTAGTGACACTTTGAAGTGATTGGAGGGGAACACCAAAGCACCAGTATAATATTTGTATATCTTTTATTTTTTTGCGTATTCCTATGATGAAGTTATTGCACTTACCAAAAAAGAAAATGCTGAAATTACATCACCAAAAAATAACAATCGAACCCGGGTCTGTACCGTGACGGGGTACTGTTCTACCAATAGACCACTTGTGCAGATGGGAAGGTTGGATTTTACTTATTGTGATGCAAAACTAATGCAACATTCATCTTTTTATTTCCTGGCAGTAATGTTCCTTTAAACAAGTATATATAGTAGAGATTGAAAGAGAAATTAAATTTACTCGTAGGATTATATAGCTTAATTATGACCCTGGTAGAGTAATATTTTCGTTGTTTCAAGAGTGTTTTGTTACAGTTTATTATTTAAAATGCAGAGGAGTGCTTTGTTCAATTGTTGGGTGTTTTATCTTCATATAGCATGCTGAAACATTTTTTTATGTGTATCTAATACTTTAAAGTATTTAATAGTTCATTTAATATTTTCAAATATTTTTGTAAAAACAACAAAGGGCCAAACTTAACTTGAAGCCTATACTCATGGGTTAGCTAACCTAGCCCAAGACGGCCTAATACATAGAAAGAAATATCAACCCAAAAATAAGTGATTTTTAAACCGTTTACAAATTTTATGAAAAATATAATTTAGTTTATACTTGGCTATTATTATAAAAAATAGTTATTAGGATTTAACAATTTTAAGATTTTATGATGTCTTCGTGTATATTCGTATTTTTATAAGCACTCTCTCTTATATATAGTATCCATTTAAAGTAATTTTTTCAAGTCACCAAAATTTCTCAAAAGTGCTTTTCATTTAAAAAAAAAACCAATCTTGTCGTATAAACTGAAACAAACAGGCACAAAAATGACAAAAGATTTAAGTGTTTTTAATTGGAAAAAAATCAATATATATGTGTGCATATTAGGAATAATCGGTCAAGTTTTTCTTTTCGTCAGGCTCTTTTTAAGCATAATAATGAATAAAAACATGCACTTTATGTAAAAAACACAAACTTAGAATTGTTCTGGTAAAAAAAAAAAAAACCTTGAATTCTATGCCAATTGCCAAGCACAAACTTCTTAAAAGGACTAAATTAAGTAATAAAGTAAAATCAAATAAAAAAGGAACTCAGAGCGTACGAATCTGTTGGTCCGTCACTAAATGAGACTTGGATGTCTTCATTTGAGATGTGACGTGATTAATTTGCTCTTTTGCCCTATTTTATATACCTTACTCATTACCATTCCCGAACCGTGAGGTGGACAGGACGGTTAAAGGCTTAAAGCTCATTCCTCGACTGAAAAAACCAGAATACTAGAATGCCACTTGTATAGAACAGAAAAGACCTCTGCTTCATTTTCACTCCCCAAAAAGGAAATTTTCATCTAGCCAGCTCTTTGATTCAGCAGTATAAATGATATCAGCACCAAACTTTTTAGCCAACCTCTTATTCTTCCTGCTTCATCTCTTTCCAATCTTTCCTCTAGAGAATCAATGGAAGCTAGGTATGCTTCAATTTCTCTTCTCTCCATTTTCTTCTTCCGGTTTCTTGCCAATTTGACCTCTGCTCAAATCTGCCACAAAACATGTGGCAATGAGGTTCTTCTGTACCCATTTGGCAGTTGCTCTGGTTGTGGCGACCCTCGTTTCCAACCACAAGCAACCAACAAAGGCTGTCCTTCACCACTCACACAGGGTCTTATCTTGTAACCTCAATAGACTACTACAGACAAGTCATATGTATCTCAGATCCTACCATGTCAACTTGCTCTGGGCTGTTCCCAGCAAGGGCTTTGGCTTAGATTGGGATGCACCCTTCACGTTGCTTTACTAGGCTTTTCCAAAAATTCATCATCTATTCACAGTTCTAAGCTTCTCTGTGATCAAGGAACACCAAGTTGCAGTCTTCTGAATTCATGCAGCCTTATTAATACCTTCAGTACTAACCAGCCCAGCTCTACGTGCTGCGTTTACACACCAGTCAATCTTGGGCCATCTTTTGAAATGGATTTGCAGAAACTACAATGCAGTTCATATTTAGGGTTTTACAGCCTCAATGGAGAGAAATCCAATCCTTTCAAGTGGAAATGCGGAATAGCTCTGAAGTACTACCTCTGGTTTTAATTATAAGACCTCGTTTCTAAACTACAAACAAGGTCTTATGATTAAGATTGGAGGTAGTATAAATTTAGTATGACAGATAATTATCCCAGCTCATGTATTGCTTGTCAAAGAAGCAACGGAGTATGTGGGTACACTGGAGATTTGAATTCATTTTTTTGCTACTGTCCTAATGGGATTAACACAACCCCACATTGCTTATTTGCAGCACATTATGATGTTGGATTTAGAAGTGGTATGCAACTTTACCTCCCGTTCTTCCCAACGTGTCAATTGCATAACTTAACCCTGAGATTGTTTTGGTTATTTTGTTTCAGGGGTTGCTTGGCTGTTGGTCTTTATGGCTTGGTCTGTGGTTGGGTTCTTCTTGTAACTTAATATGGAAGATGACGAACTTCAAGTCAACCTGATGGTCCAAGTAAGAAATGAAACTTTTGAGGCTTCACTACTTCGTTATCCTTGGGATTTTCAAGATTCTGGGGGAATATATTATTATGTACCAATTTATTACTTAAAAATTTAGGCCGTCAATTTCTGATCTCACTGGGAGGCAGAAGTGTGTAAAACTGTTACTTCCTCTGACATCAGACATGTTCCGCAATCAATGAGCTCCAAAAGGGGATTAATCTTTAATGAAATGTATCATAGAATGGCCATATGTTACATTAAATTTCTGTTCAGATCATAAAGGTTATTGAATAGCATGTGAAGGAGAAAGCCTTGTGGGTTAACATCGGTATTGAATTTGTGATGCAGCAAGTTAAAATTAAGGAATAGGCAATAGGGTTCCAACCCATTGATCTCTATTCATTAACAGAGAAACCCTTTGTGAAGAAGTCTTTCACATATCTATTAGATATTAGTGAAGCTGGTGGTCAGCACGCTCTGTACCTAAAACTACAGGTTCATGTTCGAAGCATTACCTCAGTGGCATCATATCACTTTTGAGAACCCCATAAACACAAGTTTGAAGATTGAACTGAAGAAAACAGAATCGATAGATTAATTCACAAGGTTAGAAAATGCAGAGTTATTTTAAACTCCACCTCGGAATCTCATACTTCTAACATGGAATCAAGTTTCGTACTTTACAACGGTTAACATTCCACCACCTTCTACAACTTTGACATCATAGACGAGAGCGAGGGGAGAAAGGGCTCTATTCCCTTTTTAAACTCAGCATGTGAATTTTAACTTGTAAGATGTCAAAATGTCTCTCAAACCCAAAATAAATAAATAGAAGGACGAGGAGGAGGAGATGAGTATGAAATATAAAATCTCTAACAAGTATTGTCCAAAAATCGTGAATAATACTGTTTATTGTTTCACTATAATATCTAATAATTGGTGACAAGAGCTATCAAAGTTGCCGAGAAGTAAGTTAGAACTACTGTTAGGCTTATTTATAGAAAAAACAGCTTATATTTAACTATAATTTATTTCTTGCAAATAGGTCGTGAGGTAATATCAAATTGTTGTCTAGTTTCATCGCTTTTGTCTGTTTTGTTTATTTCTCCCTAATGCAGGAGCCTGCCTTTTTTTTCTTTTCTTTTTTTTATTGGCTTCTATCTGCTGCCTTCTCCATTCGCTGCCCTCTTTTACGTCGCATCATGCGTAATATAATGCTCCGTTTGCTGGTCTCATTCATTTGCATAAGCAGCGCACAGTGAAACGTCTACAATTTTATTAAGATTTGTATTTACCATCTGTTAATTAAAAGTTTAATTGTAAAAATATAAATAGTTATATACTATATATTACTCTCCCTCCCGTTTTTAATATAGGAACCAGATGACTAGCTTATAAATATTAAAAGTATTTATTTTAATTCAAAATATATGAACTAGTCTATTTTATCTTCTAAATTTTTAACTTCTTTTTCTTAAACTATTCTTATTGAATGATAGTTCAATGTAAATGATGTTTAAAAATAATATTTTAGGATGACCACCACACATTTTTAATTAGTTAACTTAATTAATTTTTTAATATCTATACATTAGTTACCTAGTTCTCATATTAAAAACACATGGGAAAATAATATATAGTATATAGCTATTTATATTTTTATTATTAAACTTTTAATTAAAAGATTGGTAAATACGAATGTTATTAAAATTATATAAGAATTTATTAATAATCATATTATGATATAATTATTTTCTACTCTTCCGATTCTAAATATAAGACCTCTTTTATAGTATAATTTACATTACGAAAAGGGTCTTATATTTAGAATATCAGGAGTATTACGGATTGCTTGGGAAAAGTGATGCTTAATTTATGGTTATTTGCACACTCGTACGTTTCGTTGTGCGTCGCTTACTCGCTTATGCAAATGAATGAGAGCAGTGAATGGAGCATTATATTGCACTTCACACATGATGCGAGGTCATTTTCTAGGTAAAGGACGGGAGGGGATGGAGAAGGGAGTGGAGAGAAGCCAATCCCCTCTTTTATATATATCTATATATCTATATATATATATATATATTTTTTTTTTGGGGTGTTAAACCACTAGTATTCGGAGAATCTGGATAATGAGCTTTTCTGGTCCAGTATTTTTTTTGGGGGGATTTTTGCACCCGATATCTCAAGTCAGTCTTTATT